GTTTTGAGGCCAGGGATCTGTGCCCCAGAGAAAGGGGGGGGCTAAAGTAGAAGGGCTCCCCCAAAATAATCCCAAGAGGGAGAAAAAACAGGAAAAGTGAAAGAATAGACGTGGGGGCCGAAAGGGCGACCGTAGCTGTGGAAGAATGCGTGGGAAAGGCAGAAAGGATGAATGGCGGGCGAATGAATGAAAGGGAGAGTGAAAGGGAAGGAAAGAACAAGTGAAAGAGAAGAGGGACTGAATGGGGGCGGGAATGAAGTGAAAGGGGAACGAATGGAGAAAAGAAAGGAAAGGCATGAATGAGCGAAAAAAGATGGAGAGAATGAATGAATGAATGAATGAATGAATGAAGAGGGGTGGGAAAGAAGGAAGGAAGGAGTGAAAAAGAACAAACGTAAAGCAGCCCATGGCAAAACTGGAGTCAACAGATAGAAGGGACTAGAGAGCAACCGGACAAGCGGCGCGCTGGTCAGACAGACAGACAGACAAGTGAGCCGGCAGCAGATGGGCCTGGCCAGCCCCACTTAACGTTTAACCCCCCCCCCACTGTAGGGGGGCCAGCCCCCAGCCCCCGGGCTGTAGAGCAGAGATCTATAGGAAGAGGAGAGAGGTGACCCCCGCCTGCCGTCCCAATTAGAGCCTCGGCCACTAATGAGCATTTGACCCAGTGGAGCGAGAAATAAAAGGGAAACTTTTGTTTTAAAGGGAACTGCGTGTGGGCTTTGATTTGCGGGTCCTCTGGGGGGTGCCTGGTTCTGATCCAGCCCTGGGGCAGGGACTGGCTGGCTCAGGGGGGCAGGGACTGGGGCCTTGCCCCCTCTAGGGAGGGCCTGTTTCCACCCAGCCCCAGAGGAAAGGAGATCAGGTGGTCTCAGCACAGTCCTGTCAGGCCAATCCGAGAACCTGAATGCCCTTTTGTCCCCTAGTGGGGGCTGCCCTGGGGACAGGAGGCTGGTCCCCACCATTAACACTCCTTAGAGGGGTGGGGGGAAGTAGTAGGTGGTTGGCCACCATCACACCCAGGAACCCTGACTCCCACCGGTTCCCCTCCCAGAGCTGAGGACAGAACCCAGGAGCCCTGGTCCCCATCCCCCAGGTGCTCCAAGCACTAGACCCCCTCTGTGAGCCCCCTCAAGGAGCCCCCTCGCTCTGCCCCCCGCAGTGCTGAGATGTAACTACTGTGCTCCACACCCCCAAGGGAGGGGGAGATCCACACCCGAGGGAGGCAGAGATGCTGGTGTCGTGTACATACGCATGACCAGGCAAAAATGTTCTTAAGCTGGCAGCTGGTTTTATTTCCTTCCAGAATTCAAGCAGATGGGACCAGCCAGGTTGGCGGGAGGGTGCGCCGGGGCAATTAGCAACGTCTTTGTGTTGTGATTGTCTGTTTCACCAGCCTCGGGGATGGGCAGGAGCAGATTCCTGCAGGCAGGGTCATGGATCTCGTGCAAACTTTCTTACAGGCAGGAAGCAAAATCTTAGGGGGAGAAAAATTCAAAGTGACGCTAATGCTGACAACTATTGCATAAAGTCAAGGGGGGGGAGGGGCGTTATAAGCCCAGCACCCAGCTGAGCCCTCCTGATACCCAGGGGAGCAGGGTTGGATTTCCAGCAATGAGCATGTCAGTGCTAAGTGGAGGCCCACTCGAGAAAGGCTGGCACCAGTCTGGCCATCATGAGTCCTGGCTCCCAAACACCATCCCCCAGCTCTAACTACTAGACCCCAGCCCCCGGCTCCCA